GAATTTGCTTTTCATTAAAGTAATGAGTACACAAAAATACCTACAATCTTCTAATATTTCAATTTTTTACTTTTGAGTTAAACTGTTAACAATGATCAAAGATAAAATTAATGGATTAAGAATCTTTCGCCAAATCTTGATCAATGAATAATCACTTCAGTTTCTAAGATGAAAAGTTAAAAACTAGAATTATGAATGCCTAATGGGCCTTAATTTAAAAAGAAGATTGAATTTAAATCGAAATATAAAAAGTGTTCAAAGATATTTTAATTTTTAAATGTCCAAAGTTTAGAAAAGAAAACCACAAATTTAAAGATAATTTCCTGTTTTTTAATTATCATGTGATCTTTTTATTGATCTTTATTGATTATATTTGCATTCTTCACAATTTCAAAACTCTTGTAAGAACTTGAGAATGCTTTGGCTTGGTCTGCTATATTATATTTTGATTCAAATTAGATCTCTTTGCGATTCACTCTACATCAAGACTTATTGGCCAGATGTCAACACTACAAGAGCAAAAGAAAAAATCAAAAAATTCACTCCTTGCACAAGGGCTCCAAGCATCACATTTAGCTTACAAAACAAATATCTCCTAAAAATATAAAATACAATTGTCGGAGCCAGTCACGAGCATTGTTGCTAAAACATGACACCCCCCCCCCAAAAAAAAAACACTGTCATTCAAGGCAGTAGGCAGGCAGTCAAAAAAAAAAAGTTTACCAGTGGCCTCAGGTCAACTGATCTGAGACAAATTTCAATGTCAGGCCTGTACATTACTGACTCCTTATTCTCCAAGTCACTTCCCCCACCAACAAAGAGGAATTTTTGCTTTAATCCATTATACTGGCATATTTTAACATATCTTGTCACCTTTTTCTCTTTGTCTCACCAACAGTACATACCTTGTTTTTTTTAATTTGTTCTCTTGTAACTATTTCATGGTAAATAACAACTAGATGAGTAATCAGCATGACAAAATAGACTGTTTGGTTGAAAGTTTTTGAAATGTGGAATGGAATTGATAGATTTATTTTGACTACCTGTATAAAATAACAACAATTTTGTTATCTTATAGAAATGTTAACTTCAGGAAGAACTATTCAGGCTTTGTGATTATGTTAAATCTCTTCAGTAATTTATTAATAAATAAATCCTATTTCATTGAGACAGTCAAGATAACTTAGTCATAAATGGATAAGATTTGCTCATCTGCAAAATCTGCTTATTTAAAAAAAAATAACTATACTTGATTTGGTTTTCTTGATGTTGGGGTTTGTGTAATATAATGATTTGAGAACTGTGATAAGAAAACAGAATGAAAATAATGAAAGTTAAAAATGAATAAATAATTGATACTGCTTCATCCATGAAATTTACAGACTATTCAATTTAATACAAGTTGAGTAATGAAATAATAACGTCATCACAGCATTGTGAAGGTCAGGAGAAAATAGCAAAGTAGTTTATTTGAATGATCTTGATTGGTGGAGTCTTTGTGGCTTAATCAGTAAAGTGCTGTCAACATGAGAAAGACTCTCAAGAATAAGAGATGTGAGTTCAAATCTCATTGAAGGTTTTCTCTTTATTTTCAACTTAATACCTACATAATGGCTATACAATCATATGAAAGTTGTGATAAAAAGCAACAAAAATAAGAGAGCAATAAGATCAATTGGAAATACAATGAAAGAAATCCAAGCCAAAAATTAATAATAATTATAATAAGCAATGCTTCATCCAAGAAAGGCAAAAATTATTAAAATTTTAGTTTTTTATTTAATTTTTTTTATAATGTGCATTTCTTTCAAGTTTAAATTGAAAAGGTATTACAGTCATGTTTTTAACAACTCAAAACAGAAGAAATAAAAGAATAGAAACTTGGTTTATTATTTAATTGATATTGTGTAATTGAGTCAATGTTATAAAATAACTTTCTTAATTTTTAGAAATGAAATGGACATCACTATTGGCAAATAAAATCATAGCCTGCAAATTGAGTTCTGGTTGGGTAAGCATTCATGTGTGCTTGTCAGTTACACTTGGAAAATCCTGAACAGCAAAAACTCTTTATTCTTGATCAGGATTTTTTTGATGGAAGTCAAGGAAACTCTTTCTTCAAAGTGGATTGCAGTTAACAAAATTATGCTCCACTAGTTGTGAGTTAAAACTTTCTTTGCAGGCGACAGTTTCTATAGTTGAAATTAGCTGGAGTCAATGATGCTAAGTCAGGGTCACTTGTCTCAATTGCTAAGAATTGAGGAAATACTCTGTTATTGCTGTCTTGCCTTTCCCCTGTGTGTTGGCCACTCATGTGAAACACATTTTATTAATGGGTTAGCCAAATCAGTCGTTTAACAAGTTTCTGGCTTTTGCAAACCATTTCAAGTAGAATACAAAATAACCAACATTTCTTCTTTAGATTTTGGCTCTTAAGAATTCTGAATTTGCTTAGGTTAGATTTGGGGCAGAATTGTTGTCTCCTTTTTGACTAGCACATATTCAGATTGACCCAAGATGTTGTCTTAGAAAACCCAACCAGAAAAAGGCAAACAAAATAGTGTTCTCATCTGATAAACTCTCTTATGTTGGGGAATATTTTAAGTAACTTTACTTAACAAGCATTGAACATCAAGTTTAAAGTGAACAATTAGTGCTTTTTTTTTTCTTGTTTTTATAAGCATTTCAATATCAGTTTTTATATTTACCTAAAATAAATAATGAAATAGATTTAATAAAGAGATGCATAAAATTTGAGATGCAAAAACAAAACTGGCAGATTTTTTAAAAATACTTAAAAAAATATATATAGTTTTGAAATGTAAGTACAATTTATTTACATTTGTTGCTAGTTTGAGATTTTCATGCACATGAGAAACTTCTGTGCAATTATATATTTTTCTCTGTTTTTGTCATTTTTAAATGCATCCTAAATGAATATTATAAAATAAAGTTCTGCTTTTTAATTTTAAAAACATCAAGTCATTTTACTTTTTCATATGCATTTTAATTTTCTTTATTTCTACATTATTATTTCTATCTTGGAATGTGGTTGTAAGCAAATTTCCAATAAATGCTTAGAATTTTGAATGAGAAAAGAAAAGTAAAATGTATTATTTATGATGATATTTGAATAATAAAAAAGCAGAGGTAAACAAAATATGGTTGTAATAAATGCATATTTCCCCCAATGTCAAAGGTTAATTTTCAAACAGATAAAATTGAAAGTTTAACATGTGAATTTACAAAGTAGGTAAGTTCTCTTCACTGGAAATATTGGTATATTTTTTTAGATGAGAAGATTTGGTGCATTTTTGAATGAATAAGTAGTTTTGATTGTTTCAATTAAAAATGATTTATTTATTAATAACTGTTGTAAATGAGTCTTTCATCGCCTACTATTGTATTTGAATCCTCGTTGCCAACTGTTGTAGGTCGTGTTTTTTAAATAACAGAGAGAAATAAATAAGGAAGACAAACTTGTAGGTAAGTAATGAAAAAGATTTACTACACAAAGTTACTTAGCAATTGACCTAATGTTAACTCTCGTCAACTCTGTTTAACTCTGCTAATTTACATAAAAAGACGATTCCATTCATTTATTTCCTATATGACAATAACATAAAACACAAAGCCCAATTAGTTCTTCCTGAAGTTAACATTTTTATAAGATAATGATGAAATGTTATATCATACAGGTAAAAGCAATTATTTCGGGTCTTAATAAAAGAAATCTATTAATTCAGTTCCTCATTTCAAAATATTTCTGATAACCAATCCCAGCTCTTTCATGTTTTCCTACATTTACTCTCATCTGGCTGTTTGCTGTATTAAGTGAATCAACAAGTAAAAAAAAGCTATCAACAAAATAAATAAAAAAAAAAACAGCAAATGGACTTTTTGCAGCTGCAACTTTTTTGGCTATCTTTTAGTTTTAAACTTTTCTTTTTCATTGAATTAATGAGCATCAGGCATGCAAATAATGAAAGAAAGGATAGAATTTATAATTCTTCTTGTGCCATGTTCCTTCAGGATGTTGGCAATCATGACTCTCCATAATTTCCTGTTTTTTGTAGCTCTTAATAAATTTTCTCATCTCTCTTAAACATTGATTTTCCGTCCATTTACTCAAGTTCACTAAGTAGGTTATGCTTTTCTCTCTCTCTCTCCCTTTCAATCTATCCTGTGAGTATCAAATTTTCCAAGCCCTCTTTCTCATTCATATAATTAGTACATGCCCTGATAAACATCTGCTTTTGTAGATGTAACAATCACACGGCAAATACACTTTTTAAATTTCAAACATTCCTCTCAATAGAAAACTTATCTTTTAAGCAATGAAAACTTCCTATAATTTTCATCCAGAAGCTAAATAGAGAATTTTTAAAGCATTTTTGTTCAAATTATATACCATGATTTCATAATTAGTGTGATTATAGATTTCCATGGGCTGCCTTATGGCAAGGCATAGTACCCAGAAGCCATTTCTGTCAAGGTTACAATGAAGTCATCAGGAGAAAGATGTTGGATGTGGTCATTGGTATATTCTAACAGACAAGATCTGTGCCACTGAATTGCAGTGGTGTTACAAAAAAGATCCTTTATACAGGACAATGGATGAAATCTAATTATTTCAAGTCAGATGGAAACTGCAAGAACACAAAATAGCACTTTGTGTCTCCTGATATATGTGCAACCAAAACAACGATGGTGACACATGGGAGCGTCCTAATGGATGACCTGATTAGTATAATAGATTTACTGTCAGAATATAAAAATATTTTGAAACTTTATGAAGGAAATGATTTATATTGTTTCCACTTAGTTCCTTTCTGGATAATGCATTTTACGGATTTTGTTATTATTAAACATCTAAAAACATTTAATATTTTTAACTGTATTTTTGAATTGTGATTAAATTGGGAGAAATAAAAGAATGCTATACGCTGAAATAATAAATGCTTCTACGAGCTTATGGAACCTCTATAATTTAGCCCACAGCCACATCATGTTTAAACACAGGTTCCTGTATGATCACCAAAGTTAAACAACATTAGGCCTGATCAGTACCTAGATGGGTGACCACTTAGGAATATCAAGTGTTGTAAGCTTGGATGTGCAGGTGGTGTAATAGATAATGGCTCAGAATTGTTAATCAGAGAACTGTGTTCCAATTTCATTTGGGTTATATTCACTGGCAAACAAATTCACATTGGGAAAGGTATGAATACACCTCTTCTACCCCCAGATATTAGGCATTGATTAATTAGTAAGTGTTGTATCACTAAAACTATTATTATCTCCCCACTAAACCCAAAATTACATCTAAGATCTTTAGATTTTGGCATTAAACAACCCATGGAGATTGATATACTGTTCAACAAAAATAACCAACTAATACTATAGCTTATTTCATTGAATGCAGTGAATAATTTTCCAAAGCAGCTCAACACTGTGCTGAAGGTAGAAAATTATTCTTTGTCTTTTATATAACATATCTCTTCAGGATGTTGGTGCTCATGGTTCTCCACAATATCCTGTCTTGTCTTCCATCGATTCACCCAAACCCATCAAGTAGCTTTATTTGCCGTTTTCTTCTGCTTTTCCTTCCTTCAATATATATTATGAATGTTAACTTTTTCAAACCTTCTTTCTTCATAATAGTTTCCAAACATTTCAGCAGTCCTTTTCTGATTTTAAGTATAAGTGTTGTTCTTGTTCACATTTTCTTCAACAACTTCCACATTGCTCATATGTTCTGTTCATTATATTCACAGCATCTGTCTGTAGAACCACATCTCTTTAATTTTGAGTTTTTCTTCATCTGTAAGATTGTCCATCAATCACTGACACTGACACATAGGAGGATAGACATAATATAGTAATTCAGCACTTGTTTTCTTTTTGTTTTTTTTTTGTTTTTTTAAAGCAAAATTTTCCTATTTCTTAATACTAGACTTTCTAGTAACCATCTTTCACTATTCTGATGTATCTTCAAACCTCTCTGTCACACTTTCAATCATCTGTTATGAGACTACCCAGTGTGTTCTGGGATATTTGTTAAGGATAAACAAACCCTTTTATCTATCTATCTATCAAAACCAGTCTCTTGCCTTGCAGTGCTTTGCAGTTTTTTTTTTCTTTCTCAATGAATAGAAATTTAAAAACAAAAAAATATTAAAATTTCATTTCAAAAAAGTAGTATCTATCAGCAACATGTTTGTCTATGAGCTCTTTCTCTTCAGAATGTGTATCTGGGAAAATGTTAGAGACATGAACACTCTTTTCAGACAAACCGAGCCGAATAAATTCCTAAATTTCATAAAACAGATGAAGCTTTACACAAAGATAATCTCTCACAATCACCTCCACCTCATTTCTTTTTCTTTAGAAACTCTCTAACTAAAATTCATCTCCAAAGAATTTAACTGAAAACTTTTTTGCAAATCTTAACTACACTAAGTAAAGGATTCAGCACTAAGATGACCCACAAATGTTGATATGCCATTAAACAAGAAAAAAACAACTAAACTTTCAGAACATGGCCGATTACAGCTCTTCACAACTTCTTACCCTTTGTAGCTCTCAATAAGTATTGTCTTTTCATGACTTATTACAATTTTTGTCCTTCCATTCATTTACAGTTTTGTTCTTTATTCATATCTTTCCAGAACACTTACAGAAAAAGCCTGATATCTCTCAAAATTTGCAATAAGTGACCTGGAATTAATAAACCATGAAACTTCAAAGACAGAATTAGATGATTTAATTCATAACTTTTCATTGCATCCATTGGTCAACAGGTCTCAGGTGCAACAACACTGGGTCGTTATTGTTTCAATGTGGATAGTCAAATGTATTGCAGAGAAGCACTATTGCATTATAGATAATAAATTTGTTATTCAGAACAAAAATGACCAAATTTAGTTTCCAGTAATAGTTCAATAATTAAGGGGTTAAGATACAAAAAATATGGGAACCACAAAATTACAGACTGGCACTTTGGGGAATTTTTAGAATTTACATCAAAAGATATTACTTTTTTATTTATTTATTTATGAGCACAACATTTCAGGTCATGTGAAACGAAAGGAATAATAAAAAAAGAATACGCATGACAGCAAATAAAAACAAACAGAATATACATGACTTCAAATATGACTTCTGAAAGAGATTTTTCTTTTAAGTGTTTCTTGGCCAATCATTTGAGACAATTTTTGATGATCTGTTTCTTTTTACACTTTTAAATAGTTTTATAAGTCTTTATACTTGGAATTGATGGCATCATCTTTTGACAATAAGATTTCCTGGTCTTTTAATCAGAACAGAAGGTCTGGTATTAACAGAAATGAAAACGTGTCAAATCTTTATTAATCTCATTATGCTAAACTGAATGGCAGCCCTACTTGATAATTTCAATCAAGATGTCCAGTCAGCCAAAATTATTTTCTATGAAAGTAATAAAGGAAAATTGTTAAATAAACTATGAGAATGAATAGACATTAATTAGTATCAAAATGAGGGAACCACCACACATGGTCAAGTCTCCCAATTAAAGATACTTGGAAGTTAATCAGAAAGATAGATAAAAAGATGCGTCATCAGTCACTTGAAGTGACTACCTCACTCCGATCACAGTATGATGAACACAGATCAATGGCTGATTGCTTGAAAGCAAGAGATCAATAGTTTTATGTCTTCACAAGTTAGTCAACATAAATGATTGCAATAAGAGTTCTATGCTACTGAATCAGATATAAATGATCAAAGACAGTTTAAAACTGAGAGATACCATGACTTTTGCCAGATCCAAAGTTCTAATAAAAGGGATAAGTAAACATTCAATGCATTATTTAATGATTTGGAATCTGCATTTGCTTTGTAGTTTGATAACTATATAATTCCCACTTGTAGCAGTAGTTGGTAATGGAGTTTAGGTAAAATCCAGGATTATGAATATTGACTTTCAAGGCAAGCTGTTGTCCTGCCTGGAACATTGGTGCAACATAATCTTGTTAGCTCTATTTTCCTTACCATTTGGCTTTATACTAAGTTAAGCTAAGTAAATATCCAAGAGATACAATCCTGGCTCCTGTTTTGAAGGCTGGTGCAGCACAGTCTTCCTATCTCTATTTCCCTACCATTTAGCTTTATGCCATATTAACCTGGGCTGAGTAAATATTTGGAAGACTAGTACCACACAATCTTTCCCTACTATTTGACCTAGGCTGAGTAAATATTAAGGGAGATAGGCCTTCTGTATTTGGAACACTCTTGCAACACAGTCATCCAATCTCTATTTCTGAACCATTTGGCCTTGCGCTGTACTAAACCAAACTAAATATCAAGGGAGGAAAGCCGCCTTGACTTGGAAGACGTACAATAAAATCTTCCTACCTCCATCTACCAATTGACTGTATACCATTCTAAGATCATAAAATACAAATGGAGGCTGGCTCTCCCTATTTGGAAGATATGTACAGCACCATCTTCATACTGCTTTTTCTCTTCAGTTTGGCTTTGAAGTTGAGTAAATATTTGACTCGATTTGTGGCTAAGATAATTCTCTATTTCTTTCTGGTTCCTATTGTTGGTGTGTGAGCAACTGGTAAAAAGCCAAGATCTTAAATGAATGCAAATAATAGAAAACATTTAATGTAAACTTTCTTTATGAAGTCACTCATCAATTTGTGATAAAATTTGAGAAATTTGCAGAATTACAAAGACTGTAAAGAAAGAAGTCCCAATTAGAAATTTCTAATAAAAATGTTTGCATTCATTGGACGAGCATAAAAGGTTTGAAAATACTTCTAAGACTAAACAATTTAGTCCCAGTAAACATTTAAAAACAAAATTTTGGCTGAAGTTAAGATTCAAATCAATAGAATGACTTCATGGCTTGCAGAACAAATTTTATCAGACTAAGCAAATAAGTAGTAAAAGTTTAGACTTATTCATAAAAGACATATCTTGAACATAAGTTTTAGAAGAATATTTGTTAATAACAAATTCAGCTGTTATTTGTTTAGCTGTAAGACAAGTCGACCATGGCCAATAATGATACAAATCACATCTCTAAGAAGTTCATCTCATTACTCTCAGAGGTCTTGAATTACAATATACTAGAAGCTTTGATAGGGGCAGAGTTCACTAATTGAGTTAAAAGTCACTGTTTCCTCAGATTTCCAGCAAGAAATGAAATAGCCACTTATTTATAGACGTGAGTTTTTCGGGAGGAAAAATCAAAGACAAGTTGAGCTGTCTGCTGAAATAATGTGAGGACAAATCTTTGGGTAAGTGTTACAGTTCAGTGTCTAGGCAAAGGATCACTTGTCTTCTCAGTCACATTGATTATACCTTTTCATGATAACAAACCATTTGTATTGATCAGTATCTGAAATGACTTTTTCCCTTTTTAACTTTGATGATAAAATATGATTTCCCAGAACATATATTGAGACTGACAGCTTAGTATGCAGATCTTTTTTTTTCTTTTCTTTTAATTGCATTTGAATTCCTTTTGCCAAGTGTGACCTTTTATATTTGATAAAAAACATAAAGAATAACTTTTTCCTTTTCTCCAGTGAGGAACTTCTAAAACAAAAGAATATTTTCCTCACCATCATGTAACCAAAATATCTTGTAAGTAAATTTTCCTGTGAGTAAAATGATAGACATTATGATATCCACATATGAATTACAAACAGAATAATTACCCAATCTCGGGAGAAAGAACCTTCTTGTGAATTTTGATATAAAAATAATCTCTTTATATCATTTTCATTTGAACTACTGTCCTCATCTTTGTTGTTATCTGTGGGGAAAATAGAAACGGCCTACCTCGCAAACGTTCTCGCATCTTCCTGGCCTGTGGGTTGAGAAAGGAAAGAAAAGATTCAAAATGGCGTCCGTGACTTTTAATATTCACGGTCTCGTGCAGTCATGCAAAGTCGCGTTACACACATGCTAATGAGGTGTGTCTGGGCTCCATAAAAGCAGGTTGCTTGGAGACATTGGCAGACCAACATTTCACTCGTGCTTGGTGTACATCATTTTGCGTTGCAGACATTTTCAGACGGAAAGAGTTGCGTCCCTTACACTGTTCAAGT